TCATAAGACAAAGCTGATATTTGATGAGCTAATTATTCATTTTGTATTGTCCATATTTGGCTTCTTTTAAATTTAAGAAATTGAGTCCGAGGCTCTAGTTAAGTGGTAGTGCTTGCCTGGGGCACACCCAGTTTGTGGGTTTGATCCCAGCAATGCAAAACTACATTTTTCTTTAAACATTAACCATCTTCCCTTTGCAGGACAGACTTTTTTTCACTGCATTCATTTAAAGTCTCCTCACTCCCCAAATCTGTTGAGCACTTATGTAACCAGATGGCGGTGAATTTGGAGGTCATGATAGCTTGCATAAAAGATGACTCTATAGTTTATGCACTGAATTCCGAACAAAAGATATGATTCTTTTTGTTCAGGGCTTGTTTTATTCAACTCCAATTTGAATGCTGTATAAAGTAATGGAGACTCCATTTAAATGAGTTCCAAACTGTATTTATACCTGTGTATGTGTCCTCTGTTTGGGGTTTACTGACGTCATTCATGCTGTCCGAATGCAGCATTGTGTTCCCGATGTGAAGGACGGAAGACTGCATTTTTAAAGTTACAGATTTGTAAATAGGATTAAGGGATATCTCTATAAACTGTTGGGGGGGAGGGGCACAAAAGGAGGAACCAATGAAATAGGACCTTCTAAAAATTGTTAATTTTGTAAACTTTGCTTCTTTTATAAGTTATTCTGTGATTCCTTTTAGTTACCGAGTTTTATTTTGAAGATATTTAAATATTGCACTTGTATAAATAGTATGATAAATGCAGACTATTGCAGTCAATTTTTTTTAAGCTAGGATATTTGAAATGACAACTTTCAGTTAAGTATGTCAAGCTAGCAACAGAATTTTCACAAATGTAGTTTGCAAATTCTTATATTGAACATGTAAGGGGAATCAATGCAAATGATTTTTAATCTTTTTTTATCTTTTCAGCAATTTATATTTTTTGTGATTTTATGCAGCCATGTTTTCACTTTGTCTTGACAACTGAAAGCTGTATAGGGTTTTGCCAGAGAAGTGCTCTATACATAGTTTTAAATATAACAGATTCTGCTGGTATGTAAAAATTTTGCCATTAAAATTGATTTCTCACGAAAGGAACTTTTCTACCAAGTTGGGACATGTGGGAGCTTAATATATCTAATTTAAAGTAATTTCACTGAAATAAACACCATTGCTTTTAATTTGATTATATTTTTTCTCAAGATGCTTTTGTAGTATTTTGGAGTTTTAGATATTTTTTTTTTTTATCAATTCTCTCCCTTCCTTACACCATCCTTTGGATCTTTGATATCATTCACAAATGAACTAACATGGCTGGGATGTGTAAGATCTGTGTTCCAAGCAGTGTCTTGGGAAAGAAGGAAAAACATGTCTAAATCTTTCTTCTCCTTCCCCTCCTCCATTCATTGTGGGCTCCGACAAGATGAATGAAATCCACCCACAGCCTCGCTGTAAGTTGGTTGTAGGGTGGAGTCAATCTTTGTGCTTTATGTATGATTGCCCAGAGTACCATGATTTAGAAAGATGGCATAATAAAGAAAAACATTCATTTTTCACCTGGCATGTCTTTCTTGTTTAATCTAGATGTGATAGGTGGAGGTTCACTGGTTTGCACACAGCTGAGTATCTGGGCTCTTCCATGTACTGAAATAAAATACTGCTTGATTAGAGTTTAGTACTCAAAATACTGCTTTTCATCTCTTGTAAATTTGTTTAGATTTCACCCAGAAATCAGCCATCTAAACAAAATATTTAGATGCAAGCAGAAAATGGGAGCTGCTGTCACATCCTGGTCTCAAACCCTGAGCAGCAATCCGTCACTGCTCGAAAACAGTTGTTATTAAATCTAGAACCCATAGCACGCGTGGGACTTTAGCTGGACTGCTGACTTTCTAAATACTCAAGACAGCAAAGCTGCATCGAAGAGTCTTATGAACAGCAAAGTAATTTCGGAGAACTCATTTCTACAGATTTGCACAAGAAACTGTCTTGTGGAACAACGTCTATTAAGCTGTCTTATTTATTATGAATAAATAAAGCTCTGTTGTAAATGCCAAGAAATAGTAACAAATATTGAGAGGATGTTTAGTGGCTTGGAGGATATTGCCAAGCTGTTATGGGAGTAGAGGACCTCAAAGTTTAAGGCACCTTGAGAGACCTAGAAGGCACAGAGCCTCAAGTACTGTTCGTTCACTCAGATGGCCCTGAACCCTTCGTGACAAACATGACCAAGACTCCAAGATACAAATCCTGCTCCATCCATCTTGTTAGGGATGGGTGGAGACATACACATACGTACTAAAGTACAAAAAATGTAAGTATGGGCTCAGTGGGTGTTTAGTGTTTCATGGTCTTCAGTGTTGCAATGACTGTGACCACGTAAACCTCCAGGAGGAGTCCAGGAGGAGCACTGTCCCCATCACTGTACCTATTGTGATCAATGAGAGTGAGGATACAGACCAATCCTGACACATCGTGGGAAGAATACCAGGGCTCGGAAACACTAAAGCCCATCTTAGGGGCTGGCTACCAGCCATGACCCGGTTATTTTGAGAATACTGGCTTACTTTACAACTACTGAAAGTGTTAATGAATGTAGTCAAATTATGAATCAAAATTGCATCTGAGATCACTATCTCCAAGTCTAGACTACTGGGAAGCTGTCAAGATCATTACAATTTTATCATGGGTGCAGACAGTGTCAGCTGTTTTTCTTGAAACAAGAGTTTCTTTTCTAAGAAAAATGGTGTGTGTGTGTGTGTGTGTGTATGTGTGTGTTTGTGTGTGTGTTTGCATGCCATAGCACAGATATGGAGGCCAGATGACAAGTCTCTTTCCACTTAGTGGACTCTAGGGATGAACCTCATGTCATCACATTCAGCAGCAAGCATCCTTACCCGCTGAGTCATCTCACGAACCCCTTGCTTTGCTCATTTCAAGAAAAGGTCAAATACCCAAGTGTGAATGATCAGTTTGTCAGTGGCTACAAAAAAAGTTGTGTTCCGCAGGAAAGTAGAACTTCAACTTCTAATAGTCTTGAAGAACTGATTTTATTCTTAGTGGTGTGTATGTGATTGTGTGCAGGCACCTGCAGAGGCCAGAACACAGTGTTGGGATCCCCTAGGGTGAGCCATCACATGGTGGTGTTGGGAACTGAACTTGGGTCTTCTGTAAAGCAGGAGCTGGGCTGCCTACTCTGCAGTAGCAGCAAAGTACTTGGTTCAGTAGAAAGATAAAGGCCATCATTCAGAAGATCCTTGAGGAAGCCGGGGTAATTGGTTTATTAAAGTGAGCCTGGAAGTTGGAGTCCCACCAGGTACCACAGGCCTTATCTCAAAAGAAAACTGTACCCCGGAGTTACACTGTAGGGGTGTGAAAGAGGACTACATCATTGCCATTGCAGCTTGGTGTCGTTGCCTTAAACCAATGCAGCATTTCCATTACCATGGCCCCAATGTTCCCATTTGTGAAAAATGGCAGCATGTAAGAGTGTTGGTGATGGAAGTGTCTGAATCCATATAGGCTACGAAACACTGGTTTGCGTTTGTGAAGTTGTTTTTTTTTTTTTCGATATGGTTTCTCTGTATTACAGCGTTGGCTGTCCTGGAACTCATTTTGTAGACCAGGCTGGCCTCGAACTCACAGACATCTGCTTGTCTCTGCTTCCCAGAATGCTGAGATTAAAGGTATGCACCACCATGGCCCAGCTGTTTATTTTTTAATATATATTTTAAAGATTTTATTTATTATGTATACAGTATTCTGCCTGTATGTCTGCCTGTAGGCCAGAAGAGGGCACCAGATCGTATTATGGAGTGTCTTTGCCCACATATTAGCATGGAGGCCAGAGGAGGGGAGAGCGCCCCTTAGATGGAGTTATGTATTCTGTGTTGAGTATTAAGAACTGAGCCCTCTGCAAGGGCAGCAAGCCTTTACAACCTTGCACCAGTGATTTTGGTGCCAGTGGTGGGGTAGGATTTTTCTTCCAGGGTATACTTGATATTTCTGAGAGAAACAATTTGTTGGCCCTATTTGTGACTGGGGCATGGGGAGTGTTACTTAATGGCATCTCAGCACCCTAAAGTGCTTCTCCCAACAATAACTAACCGGTAAGAAATGCTAAGTGCTGAGGTTGAAAAGGTGTAGTTTCCAAAAATGGGTCTTCCTTTGCGTAGCACAGCTATGTGGATAAAAACATAACGGGTTTCATTTTCCTCAGTTTACACCAGTGTTAACATTTGCCTGTAGTTTACTTCTAAGAAATGGCCCAGTGCTACTTGCAGGCTGTGTTGTAGATTCTCACTGGAAGTCTGCAGTTTAGCCTTGGCCCTCCCTTATCAGCTTGCGTCTTAGTTTTCAATTGCTGGGGTAAAACACCACGACCGGAGTCTACTTGGGGAGGAAAGGGTTTATTTCAGCTTATAGTTCCACATCATAGCAGGAAGTCAGGGGCAGGAACTCAAGCAGGGCAGGAACTTGGAGGTAGGAAGGAATTGATGCCCTGGTGGAAGGCTGCTTATTAGTTTGCTCCTCCTGAATGGCTCAGTTAGTTTCCTAATACCGACCAGGAACCACCTGCCCGGGGGATGGTACCATTTATCATGGGTTGGGCCCTCCCACACCACCCCTCCCACACCAATCATTGAGACAATACCCACACAGATTTACCTAGAGGCCCATCTTCTGGAGGCATTTTCTTAGTGAAAATTTCCTCTTCCCAGCCATGTTTAGGTTTGTGTCAAGTTGACAAAAATAAACCAGCACAGCTCCCTTGAACTTGTTTCCGGCTCAGTTTTTTCCCTCTTTTTTTCTGCGTTTTACTGGCCCTCACCAGCTAGGCCTGGCTAGGCTAGGCTAAGCCCCTCACCTGGTAACTGTGTGTATTGCAAAAGACTGCCCGAGCCTCCTGCCCAAATCAGCCTCTCGCGGCTGCTGCTAGAGGGCGCGCTGGTTTGGTGGCCCTACTACAAATCCCATCGTACCTTGGGCGTCGCAGTGACTTCTGGGATCAGTGGGCTCGTAGAAGGTGCTGGCGGATAAGAAAGCCCTCTTTTCTTCTATCCGCTTTTCTGGGTTGTTCGAACGTCTCCGGACGACTTCATGCGTATTTAATTGAGAATTGAAACGCACAGGCAGGCAAAGCCGGTTAGGAAAACCGGCGGGATCATTTCTGCTTCCGGTGCCAAAGGGCACGTGGAATGTAAACACGGGACCACGGAGTGGCTTTCAGGTAACTGGCTGCGAGTAGGCGATAGAAGGCAGAGGAGAAGGAAGCGAGGCGAGAGGGTGCTGCGTGCGGGAGAGCGGGGCGAGCGCGGCCCGGTGAGGTTCACGGAGCCCGCAGGTTTGCTGCTGTCCCGGGCGCGGGGCGCGGTGGCGGGGCTCGGTGTGCCGGCCCGGTGGCCTGAGGAGCTGCGGCTGCGGGCTCGTTATTATTGTCGGCCTAGGAAGGGGAGATGGATTCTCCTTTGGCAGCATTTTGAGCTAAAACGTGTCTTTTAATTCTTCTCCTCTGAATACGTCTCTTCTGCTCGGTGCGATGCTTTATGTCCCAGCCTGTGTTTTTCCATCCTGGGCGCCGCATCCTCACACGCAGTCGGTGCAAGAAGACATTTACTCTGTCGCAAGCACCTGCCAGGTTGTGGCTGGGTCAAGTGTCAAGTCTATAGCTGTGGGGATCATTGTACATCAATTTAGAACGCAGGTGCCATTGTTTAGAATTTTGATCCCACTCATCAGTTCTGTAGAACATGTTGACTTTAACACCAGACTTGAATCATGAATTAACGCGAAACCTGTACTGTTGTGATCTACTCACTTGGTTTCTTAATCCTGGTAAAAAAAAGTGTTTAGGATCTTGGCGCCTTTTCCATCCAAGTCCAGATCTACCAAAGTCCCTCCTGTTAGGAGTTTTTTAGTGATAAGCTAATTAAAAAGACAATCTTAGAGGTACATGAAACTTGTAGTTTAAAACGAAAACAGTTTAGTTGAGATGTAACTGGCATGTTATTACAATGCCTCTCATATAGATTGCGTGACTCAGTAGCCTTTATTGCTACACACACACACACACACACACACACACACACACACGCACGCGGGCCCCCCCCCCCATTCTTTTTCTCCTCATCCTATCTTCAACTTCTACTAACAGATTTGACCAGTGATTTAGAATGAATTTACCTTCAGTAAACACACCAGGTTTCGGTTAATGTTAATATAGCTATTACACTGCCTGGCGCCCCAAATTGGTAATTGGTAAAATAAGGTCCATTTGGGAACTTGAAACCAGAAAACGTGATCATTGTCATTACTTTTAGGGATAGCCGTAAATGCAAGAGAGCAACCACCACCACCACCTCCTCCTCTACTTATATTTTAGTATCTTTTGAAGGCACCCCAACCATCCATTTCCCCTGGCTGTCTTTAACGCTGTGCCTCTGGATTTGTGATCCATAGTAACCATTCTTTTATTTTTAGCCATTTCCTGGTCTTCTCCTGGGATATATAAAGTGATTTTTCAGACAGGGGAAATACATTTCCCCATGTTATGATGAAGCCAAGGAGGAAGTTCCCATTGTCCTAATTCCCTAGTGTGGGTTCTACTCCACAATGTACCCAGGATTTCCCAAAATTCACTGCTCTGTGGAAAGCACGTGGTTTACCTGCATCAGCCCATGTGCTTGGTGACTGCAGTGACCGGATGCGTTTTCTCTTGTGTAGTAACAGGCCTGTGGCCCACAATTTTCTCAATTCTGATAGTAACTTGGGATTTTGTGTGGGGATGACTTTTATCCACTCTCACTTTTTTCTCTTCCTGTCTTTACTTATATTCCACTTCAGTCACATGCATCAGTAACGAATCCCTTTATATTGCTAGAAACTTACCCTTGCCTTCCTTCCTTTATCCCTCTCTTAATGCTGATTGTTTGATAATTTCAAAAAACCTCTGAGTTCATTGCTTTTTGCTTGTCTCCTTAAGGTTACAGATTCCTCTAAGAATGGATAGAATCTTAGACACTACTGAATATAAGCAATACTAGCATATAAGCTAGATGCCATATAAGATATACACAGTTATTTATTTATCTTGGTTTTTCAAGACAGAATTTTTCTACGTAACAGCCCTTCTGTCCTGTGTGGTGATATTTTGTTTGTGTTTTAATAAATAAAGCTTGCTTGAAGATCAGAGTGCAGAGCTAATCCCAAGACTCAAGGCCACCCTGAGCTACACAAGATTGAATTATCTGTCTAACAAGAGAAATAGAACTCATACAAAGGTGAACCCAGTACTTGGGATCTCATACCTTTAATCCCAGCATTAGGGAGGTGAAGACAGGAGTGATACGGCTGGGCAGAGAGAGGTATAGAAGGAGGAGTTGATAGGAGCTCAGTGGAGTCTGAGGTTTGGTGGAGACACAGTGCAGTCTAGTTAATCTGAGGATCGCCCCTTCAGTCTCAGCATTGGTAGACGTAAAAGGTCTCTCTAGTGGCTTACTGCGCTGCTTCTCTGATCTTCAGCTTTAGCCCCTATATCTGACTCTTTGTTTTTATTAATTAAGACCAACTAGAATTTGTGCTATAGTCCTAGAACTCACTATGTAGACCAGGCTGCCCTTGAACTCACAGAGATCTACCTGCTAATGCCCCCCGCGTGCTGGGATTAAAGGCATGGGACACCACTACTGGCTCGGATTCTTCTGTATCGTAAAGTCCGTCTGTGTAGCTAGGGAATTACTGGATTTATTAGTTAATCCTGTCAGTAAGTACTGTTGAAGACTTCCAGTATTCATCCTTATTCTATCAGCCGCTCTTTCTTTTCCTTAGCATTCGAATATCATGATAGATTTACGAAGCCATTTAATATATATATTTTACTTATCCAACAGTTTTGTTGAGTCATTACCTGTTTATATCTTTAAAAACTATTCTATAGCCAGGTGTAGCGGCACACGTTTGTAGTTTTAGCACATGGGAGGCTGAGATAGGAGGATCATGAATTCAGTCTGAGCTAGAATTTTTAGTTCTAGAACAGCTGTATTCAGATTCCTGTTTCTGAAGCAACAAAAAGCACTCAAAGCCTAGAAAACGTCTGTTAGGGAAAATTTCAATATCTATGAAAGGAGGGGAATGAGCTGTGCATCTTCTGTGCTTATTTCTCAACTTCATCAGTTACCAATTCAGAGTGATCTTATTTTGCCCACTCCTTGGCATTTCTCACTGTTGATGACTTTGAAATAATTTCTAGGTATCATTCAATTTTATAATAAATACTTTGTTTGTGGTTCTTAAAGGAAAGGGTTTTTTGAAATTCAATCATACTATTAAGACAACTGAAAAATAGGAGTGACTTATATTGTTCAGCCAGCGTTGTGGTTTATTCTTTCGTACATGTACTTTCAGTGTTGCTTTGTTTAAGTCGGCAGTGAAAGAAGATATACACACTAGGTTCAGTTTTCTCTCTTCAGCTCTTAACCTAAGGGCTGCCGTCCTGCCTTCTTCCTTTCCCATCCCTTTCCCTGCTACTCATTTCTTGACCAATTCTGTTTTTTTCAGGTTCTGTTTGCCACTGCCACATCTGATGTGTTACTAACCTGCTTCAGTCTGTCGTGGGTTTTGTATAAATTGGCAGAGGCCTGTTGGGATCCAGGGTTAGTCTGCAAGAGCACACCACTTCCATTAGGAGATGAGGTTAACAGTAGTGCCCAGGTGCCGTCTGTGAAGTCTAACAGTTCTTGCTGGTTAATCCCTTGATCCATGAGGAGGTGCTAGCAAGGCTGTGGTCTCCCTATGTCAGTCTGTCTCCACCTGGTCATTAGAGTCCCTTTGCAGCATTCTAAAGCGGTTTCTGAAATTTTCCAGAATGGCTTCCTTTGGGTGGAAGAGAAAGATTGGTGAGAAGGTATCCAAGGCCACGTCGCAGCAGTTTGAAGCTGAAGCTGCCGATGAGAAGGATGCAGCTGAGAATGAGGATGGGAGCTGGGTTCACGCCAGCAAGCGGAGGAAGGAAACCCTCCAGGAAGGCTGCAGACTGAAGAGCAAGCAGCTGAAGGACGAAGGCGCTAATCTGGCTGAAAAGAAAAGGTGTGTGTTTGGATGATGATGATGATGATGATGATGATGATTGATGATTGATGGAGGTTAGTTTCCTTTTTCTGGTTCATAGTCTCTAATGGAATAAAGAACTATTGCCTTAGATAGGGTTTCTATTGCTGTGATGAAACACCCTGACCAAAAGCAACTTGAGAAGACAGGGGTTTATTTCTTCTTCCTCTTCTAGGTAACGGTCTATCATTGAGGAAAGTCAGAGCAGGAACTGCAGGCAGGGACCAGGCTGGAACCTGGCGGCAGGAGCTGAAGCAGACTCCATGGAGGAGGGCAGCTTGCTGTCTTTCTCCTCTTGGCTTGCCCAGCCTGCTTTCTTATACCATCCAGAACCACCAGTCTCGGGGTGGTGCTACCCATACTGATCTGGGCCTTCTCATATCAAACATCAGTCAAGAAATTGTACCACAGGTGCTGGGTGGTGGTGATGCGTGCATTTAATACCAGCACTTGGGAGGCAGAGGCAGGTGGATTTCTATGAGTTTGAGGCCAGCCTGGTCTACAGCGTGAGTTCTAGGACAGTCAGGACTGTCCCACACAGAAACCCTGTCTCAAAAAATAAACAAACAAACAAACAAAAAATAGAAAATGTAGCACAGGCTTTCCCACAGGCCAATCTGGTGGGGGCATTTTCTCAATGAGATTCCCTCTTGCAGCGTGATTGTGGCTGTGTCAGGTTGATATAGAACTAGTCAGCACAGCTGTATTTGTAGATTCACGTTTTATAGATCTGGTTTCATTTTTAAAAAGATGTTTCAGGCTCACTTGCAAAATTCCCATTTTCAAGGAAAATGAGTTTGTAATAGTCACATTAAGATGCATGTACCGCTTTTTCCTCCTTTGTTCTGTCTAGGGGAGTGTTCGTGACGCCTTAGTGCAGTGTGTTGCTCAGTAGGGAGAAAAATGACTGAATTATCCTTTTACTTTTTCTTTGCTTTTTGAGACAAAGTCTTACTGTGTGGCCTAGGCAAGGCTCAGACTCAACTCCCTGCTCCCCGCATCAGTCTTGAAGTGCTGGGATCACAGAGCTATGCAGCCAGACTGCTTGCCATCGACTTCTTGTGTACTTCTGTAAACGTGGTGGGTACTCAGGAACTTGATAGTAGTATCTTTTTTAAAACAATAATTTATTTAAATTTATTATATGTACATTGTTCTGTAGTTGTCAGATCTCTGGAACTGGAGTTACAGGTGGTTGTGAGCTGCCTCGTGGGTCCTGGGAATTAAATCTGGGTCCTCTAGAGGAGCAGACAGTGCTCTTAACTGCTGACCCATCTCTCCAGCCCCTGATAATCGCACCTTTTATTTATAGTTCTTCCCTAGCTAAATTACATATTTTTTTCCCATATGTACCTCTTCTTTTCTCCCTTCCCCCTATTGATTTCTTACTTTTTATCCTCTTTCCTTTGCTTAGAAATTTCAATGGGAATGAAAATTCCCTCACAAGTCAGTGGAGAAAAGACAAATTGTTTCATGGAATATGTTGGAAAACAAGATCAGAAGAAAATAAAGGTGGACCTTTATTAATAATGCCACATAGGAGACAGGGCCTTGAAAAACTTAAAGTCTAATCAAAAGGAAGTTTGTCTTTATTTTTGAGATTAGGCTCCTATAACCCAGATTGGCCTTGAACTTCTGACCCTCTTCCTGTCTCTACCTCCCAGCTACTGTGATTACAGGTGTGCGCCATTACATCTAGTTTTCTCTGCTGCTGGCAACGCTAGTCAAGCAGTTCAGAGACTGAGCTGCACCTCCAGCCCCATAAAGTGTGAATATAAAGTTTACAGGTAATAGAAGAAGCCTCAAGTAGGGAGACTATTTTTAGCAGTGTTTGAGACAGGATGACAAGGTCTTTCTTATAGCTTAGGCTGGTTGGTGCTTGTCATCTTGTTTCTCCCTCCTGAGTGCTGGGGTCATAGGCAGGTGCCACCATTCCCTGAGCCATTACAACTTTTTACTGTGAAAAATGTTCTATCTATATTAAAATTGAAAGAATATTGCAACCGTATATTCTGTATTCCTAGACAAAACTTTTTATTATCATGTATTAACTATACATAATAATGGGTTTCATTATGGCCATATTCTATGTGTATATAATGTATTGTGGTCCTAAACACCTCCTGCTAGCCTCTCCTATTCCCTCCATCCCCCAAATCCTGATGATCTCCTTCCCTTTCCCAGGTAGTCCTTACACCCTGATGACCCAGTGAATTTCATTAGGGTTGCCTATAGGTGCATGGGGTAAGTGGTTATTCATAGGCATTTGGTTACCTTAGTGGCTACACTCCTGAAGCAAGCAACCGACTCCCTCTTCTACCAACCATTAATGACTTGCAGATCTTCAGGAAGTGGGGCCTCATGAGCCCCCTACTCAAAAATGCGCGCACACACACAAGCACACGCATGTGTATATGCGTGGACATATATATACTCACAGACTACAAATAATTAGTCTTTTTTTAATAATCTTTGAGAGTAAGTTGCAGACACCTTTAATTCAGCACTGTTCTCCATAGAATAAGAATATTCCCTCCCCTGTCTGACATGCCATTATCAAATATATAACGAATAACAAATTTATAATCTTCGTTTATACTTAGATTTTTCCAACTTCAGGAATTTCTTTTTCCATATATATATATATTTAAAACCAAGGCTTAAATAGAGTTCATAGATTGTATTTGGTTATCGTGTTCCTTTTTTGGTGTCTTTAAATCTGTTTGGATCCCTTCCCCCTTTTTAAAGATTTATTTTTATTTTATGTGTATGAGTTTTGCCTGCGTATGTGTTTCTGTACCAGGTGCATGCCCAGTGTTGATGGAAACTAGAAGAAAGCACTGGAACTGGAGTTCCAGGCAGTTGTGAGCTGCAGTGTGGGTCCTGGGGACCGAACCTGGGTCTTCCTCAAGAGTGTCCAGTGCTCTTAACCACTGAGCTTGCTCTCCAGTTCCTCCATTAGATTTTTAAAATTTATTTATTTTTATGTATATGAGTGTTTTTTGCCTACATGTCTGTGTCTGTACCACATTTGTGCCTAGTGCCCTAAGAGGTTAGAAGAGCATGTTGGATCCCTTGGAACTGGAGTTACAGATGGCTGTGGGCTACCATGTGGGTCCTGACCCACACCTGGGTCTTCTCTGAGAGCACCTCTTAACCTCTGAGCCTTCTCTCCAGCCTCAGTGTTCCTAGTAATTAAAAAAAGTCATTATTTTATTTACTATGTATGGGTGTTTTGCCTGTGTGCATGCCTGTGTATCACATGTGTGCCCTGTGCCCTCAGAGTCCAGAGGAGAGCACTGGATTCCTTAGAACTGGAGCTGCAGATGGGTGTGAGCCTCCATGTGGGGCCTGAAAAAAGAGCTCTGGTCCTCCAGGAGAGTAGCCAGTGTTTTTAACTGCTGAGCTGTCTTCCTAGTCCCAAGGTTAGATCCCTTTCTAACCATCTAAGAGTTTTAGAGAGTACTTACCTACGGGGCGCTGCTGCTTGGCCAGCAAGCAGGAACGACCACGAAATCGAGGATTCTTCCCAAATCACGCTTTATTGGAGCAACTCGGTTGAAGGGGGAATGGGGGACGAGAGAGGGTGAGAAAGGGAGAGCAGGAAAAGGTGAGAGGGAAAAAGTGAGAGAGAGCGAAAGGCCCAGAGGCAGCTGCTTTTAAAGGGTGGAGGGACTCGGAAACTGTCCTGATTGGTGAATACCATTCTGCTGGTGTCCGGGGTATCGGGATAGGCTAGGGAATCAAGGCTCAGTTGCGCATGTTCAGGCAAGGGTACTCAACCCCACGTGGCTATGCCAAATATGGACTTGTTTACCTCCAAGCTGTAGGATCACCTGCGCCATCTCGTAATGGCGATTTCTCCAGGTGGCTCCTTACACTTACCAACTCCTCCCTCTCTCTTTCTCTCTCTCTCTCTCTCTCTCTCTCTCTCTCTCTCCCTCCCTCCCTCCCTCCCTCCCTCCCTCCCTCTCTCTCTCTCTCTCTCTCTCTCTCTCTCTCTCTCTCTCTCTCGACAGGCTTTCTCTGTAGCTTTGAAACCTGTCCTGGAACTCGCTTTGTAGATCAGGCTGGTCTCCAACTCTGCCTGCCTCTACCACCCAAGTGATGGACTAAAGGTGTGGTGTGTGCCACCACCACCCAGCTAACTTTTCTATTTGATTCTTCCCCTTGTGTCTGTATTTAATTATTCCTCTGTCTCACATACTTTTGGTGAACTTTGTGCTGGCTACCTCATCATGTAGGAGATGAGTAGCATTAGATGGCCTTCTGTTGGAGCAGCTGTCACAATCACGTTGTGCCTGTATCGCTTTGCTTTGAGAACTATTCAGAGATGTGTTTAATTAAAATCTTTTTATTTTGAAGCTGAGGCGGTATCTCAGTTGGTAACACGCTCGCCATATAAACTTGAAGACTGGAGTTTGATTCCCCAGCACCTACATAAGCAACTGTTTTGTGAGAGATGCAACACACACGCATGCAGGCGCGCATGCCATGCACATGCGCCTGCTTTCCTCATCTCAGATAGGGAACCCGAGACAAACCAAAGGACAGATACCAAAATCTAGTTTTATTGGAGTTACAGAAATATGGGTGAGGGGTTACTTACAGGACTAAAGGCAAAATTACTCAAAGACAGCTGCATCACCAAAGCCCACCCCCACATGGGTGACAGCTCACAAAGCTAGGAAGCTGGAGCATGCTGCATAGCCCACAGGCAGCTCAAAAGTTTGGAGAATGTTTTTTTCTAGGGGCCTCGGTTGGTTTAAGCCTCTTCCAGGTAGCGCTGCTAGTTTCTGCTTCCAGGCCGCTGGTCTGGTCTCAGAGTCTTTGCAGGCTGACTTGTCTGAGAGGGACTCTCAGCTTTAATTACTTTCTCTGCCAGGAAGGGGCCTAGAGGATCTGGTTAGTTTCAGGGACTTCCTGAGGCTATTTTGAGTGGTTTACCTTCCTGCTTACAGTCCTTGCCTGCAGCATGG